TTTTTTTCGATTGTTTTGTTTTCATGTTGTGTTCAAGATGTGTGAAATCAGCATCAAAGAAATACAACAGAGTTATATATATATATTTATTTGTATGTTTTATAGTGAATGTATCAACGTGTATTGCTGCCAACCATTCATCCTGCTTTTCTGTTTAGTTTTATCGAAGCGAAACAATTGTAATGGATTTTTGATTGGTTGTACTTTATGTCGACATTTTGACCCCTCTCTACCTCTTCTTCGACCATTTTTGGTATTGTCTTGTTATTTTTTCGCTCCACAACGTCTTAAAAAAGCAGTTAAACTTTTAGTTATTGTTTTGTTTACTTATATTTGAACAGAAGTATATGAGTAATGGGTAGTTTTATGCGGAAAAGTTGGCTGCTAAAGGAAGTCTTTAGAACTACAAATATTTCTTGTGAACTATTATTTATAGTTGTTTTTATTATCAATTTGTTGTTGTTAGTTGTAATTCTATTTGATTTTTTTTTTTTTTTTTTGAAAAAGCATACATACGAAAAATATACAAATCTGAAATAAGCAGTTTAGATTCTTTATAAGCAAAGTTTATTTCGGTTTGGGAATGATTACTTCAAAGCCCAAAAACGTGTATGTATTTTCTAAACAAATTTGGATAGGTTGCCAAAATGTTGCACAGTCGTGTCTTTAGTTTGCAAGCAAGGATGTTATACCATGTTCAGGTATACCCCTATATAACGTAATAAGTTTTTGCTGGTAACCCTACAATACACGAAGACAATTATTTAAATTTATGTTTGTTGTTATTGTATATACTAAATACATGTTGGTCAGCATGCAGGGTATGTGTCTGATATTTTGCTGCTAATTCAGGTAATTTAGAACGTGACATTTCCATCCATAATCCCAAAATCTTAAAGGTGGTTTTCTACTCGCATTCCAACTACCCCAACCAGAAAGTGAAAGCTAGTAATAAAGTTCCGAATGCTTTGGTTGGCACCTCCTGGGACAAGGATAAACAAACGTTGGTAGCGACACACTATGTCGCGAGTTCATATAAACAGCGGCCAAAAATAGAAGGAGTTATCGTAAGTTAATGCAATTTGGTACATGTGCTTATTATTGGCCTAAAGAGCAACTGACAAAAAATTAGGTAGATCGGACCAAGATTTGGTATACCTCCCATATAATGGGTCTTGAGAATGTCACCCTTTTTGGCCTATAAAATCTCAAACAAATTCAATGAAAATTGGCAATTTACATTTAATTAGGCCTCTAAAGCAACTGACCAAAGACTGGGTAGATCGGACCAAGATTTGATATACCTCCCATACAGAGGGGCTATATAATCTTTAATATTTAACCAAATTCAATGAAAATTGGCAAATTACACTCACTTATGCATATAAAGCAACGGACCAAGATTTTAAATACCTCCCATACAAAGGGTCTTGAAAAATCCGCTTTTTGGACCTATAAATTGTTTATATTCGCCCAAATTTGATGTAATTTGGGCGAAGACATGAACATTTCAGTAATATGTATTGTAATTTAGTTGTTGGCCCAAATTTCAGGTACCTACCATACCAAAAGTCCCTAAAAATTTAACTTTCTGTACTATAAAATCGTTGTAGGCAGCTATTAATTATAGTAGTTTTATTTTTGTTATTTTTATTATAATATATATATATACAAGCCGACCCGGCAATCGTTGTCTTGCATATCTATATTGTTGATGTATAATTCACATAACGATAGCCCAATTATTAAGTTATCTTTAAGATAGTGCTCTGAAATTTGCACATACATTGAAATTACACAGAAAGTGTCCGTACCAAATATCATATAATGGTAGCCCTAAACAGTATTAAAGTATTATAAAGACATTGACCGAATTTCCTAATAGAGTTGGCTATAATTAGGCATAACGAATTCCTGTGAATAAAAAACATCATTCCAGGAATTTTGCACTACAGCTTAACGTTAAAAAACGCCATAATTATTTCCAGTTCAATTTTCGGTGTGTTGAATTTCTTACTCCCGTTTTCCAACCTGAGTTTTATCGGTAATTAGCCTGTTCAATACGAATGGGTAACATCGGACGGAGGTTTTCGTATAACCTTCAAGTCTCTACGTCATCGCTAATTTTTATAAAATTGCTGGTTTTTTGTTTGTTGTTCTCTTTCCAGCTGAGCTTAATGATAGATTTTTGCAAAGAAGATATCTCGTATATTTCACTGTGATAAACATTTTTGGAGTCTGATATATGCGAGGTGTTTTGTTTATAAGTTCAAATATATTGTACAACGACTAGGCATATAATCGCCTGATTTGATATTTCCCGTGGCATAGCAACATTTCAGGTACTTTAAGGAACAACATGTTCAGAATATCCTCAATGGACACGAACTTGATTTATAACCTCTTCTGATTTTCCATCCTTGCATTAGTCCCAAAATGTACTTGCATTATATGGACGACCTAAGTCAGGAAGTCTTCTCCTCGGCATCTCATCGTTATTAATTAATGACAAAATTACGCGTTTACTGAACAATAGTGTAACTATCACAGAGTCACTATCCCAAAAGATCACAAAAGTAAAGAAAGTTCTCGCTCACGTATCGGTAATCGTAGCTTAATCCTTTCAGAAACTTAATTTGTGACAAAATTTAAAATGTATCAAACTTAAAAAAAATCTGACAAAAAAAGCAAATTGAATGTATGAATCTACATTTTATTTAGAAAACATTTGTATGGGAAATATAAAAGTCAGGCTTTAAGAGATTTCCCGGCATTTATTCGATCTTTTCTCTCTTTTTAAACCTTCCCTGAAGCTCCACGAACATTTCAAGACAAGACGAGTTTTAGCGAGACTAACGAACAGGAATTAATTTTTATATATATATAGATAATAGATAATATTGTCTTCCCAAATGTACGATTTAGTATCATCCTCGTTATAATCTCGGGCCTTTACTTTATGACTGTTTAATTATGTCTCAAATGATCTGATAAATAATTATAATCTTCAAACTGACTGAAAATTTATTTAAAAGCTATATTTTAAAACCAATTCTTCCATATCTCCGCTTCGAATAACGTTTTTACCACTTAATTGCATATTTTATGTAAAATATTGTATTATTACTATGTTCTGAACCATCTTCTCCTTCCTATTTGACCCTCAATAACGTATTTAATTGTATATATAACATATTTGACCATTCGCTTCTAACCATGTCATGAATATGCCATATTTTTTCATAAGGTGGTCACCAAAAAAGTTAAATAACTCTTAGGACCGCAGGACCCCGCAGCTATTTTTTTATTCCTTAAATAACACACCTTTCACCACTCAAATAAAAAAAATTAGAGCTAAACTTTTTTTCTGCTCCACTAATTTCAAAATTTGTTTTAAAAATTAGATGAACTAAGTACTACAAGTGTGGACGACTGTATACTCCATATGATATCTATATACATACAAACTAAAGCGAATCCTAGTTTTTACATCCACAGCAACCAAAATAAACACTTTTATAATAACCGTTAATTTGAATATTCAAATATTTGAGCATCAGAAAAACACACCTATTTTTCGAAAATATGGTAAAAAATCAGTTTATAAATAATTATCAGATTTGAACCTTTGAAGAGACAAAACTACTCGACATATCGATATAAAATTTCATATTTATTCTAATTGGAGTGTTTTCTATCAATCCTCATCAAAAAATTTGTCCTCCGTGGTACTTGGTTTTGTTCATTTTTGGCCGCGGTCGTGACTCTGTGCGACATACAAGACCATCGGTCGTTCCATCCTTAAATATGCTGCCCCGGTCTAGATTTTTGCCTTAGTGGCACACAAACTACTTGCAAACTACTCAAAAAAATGCACTCCAAATTGCAACGTAAATCACACCGACGTCACATATCATAACACCGACCTATTGCTCCAAAAGACGCCAACAAGATTACGTTGTCAGCATCCAATTTAATTTCTTCGCGGTAGCTTGCGCAATCCGAGCCCAATATGATTTAAGAAGCCTACACTAAGGGGACCCACCATGTTATGGTTAGGATGACTCTATCTGATCTTGTCTGGTCCTCAAGTGCTGTCGGCAATCATGTTATATCGCTCTTCCCAGGTAATAAATATTAATTTTGGGATGACATTTTTTAAATCAACCCGAACGAGAATTTCTTTGTACAACATTTCGATCTTCTAAATCAATTGCTTGTGTTTTGTTCTTTCATATTTTTTGAAACTACACTGTGCAACAAGATTTTGATAACGTACCCAAAGACAAGAAATCGATATTTATATGTTTTCATAGTCCTCTTTCACTTTTACCCGAGCCTTACTCTTAAAACCTTATATTTACGAATAATTTGTATATTGTAAAGAATTCGCAGATTCGTTTAAAATATTTACCATAAATAATTCTTAGAATCACAAAATTTGTTATCGGAATCTTCAGATAATAAATCTGATTTTTGTAGATTTTTTATCAACCGATGAAATATAAGTGTATATTTTTGATATGTATATACGTCTTAGAGGCAAATCCAGCTTCAAAATATTATCGATATCTGTTAACGACAATTTTGAGACAGGTTATAACCCGAATCGTCCCCAATTTCATATTTTGGGTTCGATAGAAGAGCTTCCTAGCATGAAATATCAATCACATATAAAGAAATAGCCTTTATTTGATGGGTCTTAATACAATTTCCAACCAAGGGGCCTATTAATTTGAAATTTCGGGTTCGTGGAGAGTAAAAATGTTTTGCAGACATTCTTAAATTTCACAGGCCATTTTCCGTGGGTTGAAGTTTCTGGCCGAGATTTTTTAGAACTTAAATGGCATAATAGGAAATATTTTCCCCTAGAACAATGATTACTGATTAAATGATTTTAAATAACGCATATTTTTAGGGGTTTAAAGTAAAACCTTAAAACCCTCCGTGTGTTGCAAAAAGGAATTAGCTTAGACTTCATAAGTCCGAATACAACTCACCTTTACACGCCTTTTCATGCATTTCCTTATCATCGGCTATAAGTTCTTGGAATTTGTGTTGTAAATTTGAGGCGGCTTCTTGCACAGTATTTGCTTCATCATCGGCATCATTGAGAGCCTTTAAATATACATCCATATCAGCTTGAGATATTCTATAAAAGAATAAAAAACTCGATTTTATAACTATGCCGATGAATCTAAGTTCATATTATTCTACCTAATGCGTTTATTTTCCAAATATCGTACAAATTGTACTTCACTAGGTGTCAGGAAGAGTACAGCACGACCATTGCGACCAGCACGTGCCGTACGACCTACACGATGTACAAAATCGGCCGTTTTCTGAGGTGGTGAATATTGTATAACCAAATCGATTTCGGGGACATCGATACCTCGACCAACAACGTCCTAAGAGGAAACAAATAGTACAATTGATAAAAATATCGATAGACTTGCATTGTTCTTTTACTTACTGTGGCCAATAAAACTCCCGATTTACATTCACGGAATCCCTTGAAGACACCCTGTCTTTCAGTTTGGGACATGGAGCCATGTAATCTTGAAAACAAAATAAATATGTTAGTTTTTATGCTACCAACTTTAATGTAATGAGTCATCCTCACCTGAAAAATCTTAAACCCTTCAGTAGTGGCTCATCAGAATCATCATCCGAATCTTCTTTGGCCAATTCTTCATCATCTTCATCTAGAATCTTTTGGGTAAGTTGTTCATTTAACAAATCATGATGGAAATTAACCATTTCCATTGTGCTCATAAAAATGAGAGCCTTAAATTTATCTTTATTGCGGAACTCGTGAGCCAACAACCCAGAAAGTGTGACCAAACGCAATTTAGGTGCTACCACAACATAACTAAGTTTCAAATTTTCTGGTATTGTCAAAATACCCGTTGAATCTTCGCCATCTAATACATCAGCAGTGATGGCTTCAATAGTTTCTTTATTATAACCTTCAGTGGTTTTAATGGCCTTTGTAGGATCCTCATCACTGTTATCAATAAATATGGGATCATTCAACGTTAGACCTGCCAATTTTTGTACAGCTGATGTCAATGTGGCAGACAGTAGCATTCTTTGTAAGGGTTCAGGTGAACCACCATCCTTTGCATCTTCTTTACGTTGTTTATCAATGCCCTCAACAATTTGTTTCACATCACGTTCATAACCCATTTCTAGAAGGCGATCAGCTTCATCGAGTATGAGGAATTTAGCTTTACTCAGTTTGAATGATTCGGTGTGTAGTAAATGATCAACCAAACGGCCAGGCGTTCCCACTAAGATATTAATACCTTTGCGTAACCGGGCCTTTTCAGCTTTTCTACGTTCTCCACCCATTAAAGCACCAGGCACAATCCATGTAAAAGGTTTAACTAATTTTAGGAATAGTTCATAGGTTTGTATAGCCAATTCTCGAGTTGGTACTATAACAACAGCCAGGATACCACAATCACGGGTAATTTTTGGTCGTATTGAATGCAGTTTTTCTACTAAGGGCAAGGCATAGGCTAAGGTTTTGCCGGAACCTGTTTGAGAACGCACCAGAATATCTTTACCTGTAATGAAGAAGAACAGATTATTATTTTAATGTTGATCAATATTTTTTGTTAGTATATATTTTCGTAAGAAAAGGGCCACAATCGAACGGGGCCGACTATATGATATCCTGCACAAAACTGGTTATATGTTATATGCCAAATTGGTTATTTTTAACCTTAGTATAGTTGTTATATATATATATATATAGAATCTTGCCGGCCGGACAGACGTGATTTCATTGTATCATTGCTTTGATTTTGTACGATTTTGTAAAGGAGCTTTATATAAATATGAATCGATTTAAATTAAATTTGGCACACGTTATTTAGAACTTAATGCAGTACTCCATACAAACAATATTGATGCACCATATACATGAAATCTTCATCTAAATCTGTCAATTTAATGGACTATGGACATTGATGTACATTATGCATGAAATCTAATATGGAAAATGCACCTAAATCTGAACCGAATTTATCAATAGACTCCGTTCTTTATAAAGAGGTTTATATTTACCACACAAATCTCTATATCTTCATAGAGTCGTGCCTAACATTTTATATTATAACATACACATAATGTCCCTGCTTAAGAGGAACCCCGGCAGCTCCCTTCACTTATCACCCAACTTCATATGTCATTAATTTTCTTTCCACTTACCCTCCAAAGCCTTTGGTATTGTCTTCTTTTGTACCGTAGTCAAATGTGTAATGCCCAAAATATCAGCAAGATTTTTCACAGTGTGAGGATGTAAATCCAATGCCTCTACTTTGGTGTTATCGAAAATTTTCTCTGTAATTGGTTTGACAAAACGTTGACCCAATTCAACTTTTTCCGGTTGATCTTTGAAGAGGCCAATTTTACGTACGCTTGAATCACCAGGACGTTTAACACGAAAAGCATTATTTTTACGAGCCTGTGGATCTACATGACCCAATTCAGGATCCTCCTCGACATTGTCCACATTTCCCTCTTTGGCCTTTTGGGCTTCACGTTCCTGCCGTTCTTTTTGTACAAACAGATCAGCAGCTCTTGGTTTTTGATTTGGATTTTTAGAGAATTTTTTAATACCAGATTTCAGTTCATGATCGGACAAGGTACGTTTTTGAAGAGGACCATCTCCTTGGCGCTGTGACCGTTTTTGTTGTAGGCGTTCTTGTCGTGTTAGTTTTGATTTAGCAACCTGCTGTTTTCCAGCTACTCCAGTCGGAGCTGTGCAGATATTTAACATTAAATCACCAGCTAAATCTGTGGCCTTTGGTACTCGAGCATAGGATTCTAAATCAGAATCACCATCATCTTTACTGGGTTTTGGAGCGACAACAAAATTCTTTTTAGGCACTTCATTCACTGTGTCCGTAGGAGCTTTTCGCTTCAATGCCACTGATTGGCCATTTGCCGTTGTATCAACTTTTCTACGTATGGCCATAGATTTTGGTCTGGCTGGCTGTTCGTTTGTCTCCTTAGGTTTGACATCTTTAGATACTGTTTTTGCTGCAGTTGCTACCGGACGTTTTCTTGCCACAACTGCCTTTACTTTTTGTGTTCCACCTCCAAACTCAAATGAGAAGCCACTACTAGCCGATGAGTTTTTGGCTTTCTTCTTAATGGGAGCCGAGAGAGGTTCCTGAAAATAAAAGCATAATGAATAACAACACACCAATGTTTTACGTATTGCTCAACATACCTCAGGTTTACTGCGCATTGGCTGCTTTGCTGTGGTGATATTCAGTTCAATGGTCATCTTTCTTTTAAAAAAAATTACAGCTCCTTTAGCGTTTTTATTTTAAAATTTAATTAAATTAAATTACTTTTATGTGAGTCTAATAAAACGTGCTGTTGCTTCTGTTTGTTTGCACAAACATGTGTTATTGTCGCTTTTGTTTTGATATACACGTTCGCTTAAATCGGACGTAGTGACGTTTCTCTTTGGTATGCTTCTTGATGATAGTTTAAATATTTCATCAATAGATGCCGCTATTGAGATAAAAGTAGGTGTAATACTGGAATGTTTATGTTGGAACTAATTATCGATTTAAAATTACATATTTAAACGTATGTTTTATTTTTGAAAATCTGCTCCATCTGAAATGTCAAAATGGATTTATGAATATGATTTTAAGTGCGCTCTATCGCTAAAAAATGTTTTCTCCAATAAAAATGATTTAAATGGTATTCGAATATGACAGCCTTACCTAAAATTCAACTAGCTCGTTCGACGTTTTTACCACAAAAGTAGAACACATGTATTTATATGAATGTTACCGAAAAATTTCAACTTTGACGTACGTATTTTTGATTTTTTTTCTTTTGATTTTCTTTTGTTGAAAATAAAAACAAAACATTCAGGAATTTTGAAATTTCGAATGGAAACTAAAAATATGTGGATTAATTTAATAAATTTTCAATTTTGTTTTGCGGTTTTCATTATTTGCTTGAAGATATGGATTCGACGTATTTTGGTAATACGGCCGTACACAACATTTTGCCATAGTGGGGATGTTGAATATTTTTGTACGCCCCGTCGGATTTTAGGTATAAAAAGTTGCAAGGAGGAAGAAATTCAAAAGAGAATCCAAGAGAGCAGCAGCAGAGTTGCTTAAAAAAGTTGCATGTGTAAACCCAGACTATTTCGATATTAAAAATGCGGATAGTAGACAGATATTTTGTTAAGATTTTCCACCCAATTAGAAAGAAAATAAACGCGTTTTCTGGAAAAAAATATTGTTAACTAGAAAGGACTGAAAGGGTGTGACTTTGAAATCTTTCAGTGAATATAAACGTCGTTTTGTGACTCAATATATGAAATTACAAGGAAATCGTTTGGAATGGAATGTAAAATATACCATTTAAAGAAAGAGGGCTACTATTATAACCCTTGAATATATCTTCTTTTTTAAGTAGGAAAAATATCCTTCTGTTTCTTGAAAAGAATCAGAAGGAGAGAGGGGTACCTTTTTCAATTTTTTTATTTTCAATTTTTTTTTTATAAATTTTAACTGATATGCACAGATGTTACCTTCACGCTGAATATACATATGACATACTTTAAGTTAGATTTAAATATTTTATTACTGTTTAAATGGGCGAAGTCATAATGTTCAAAACTGTTGTACATAGTTAATATTTATGAAAGAATATAAACATTTTCATTAGGTTGGGGAAAAGAAATCCAATGTTTTTTCGGCAGATGTATGTACTGATAGAAACAATTTCAGATTTATGCTCGGTGGACGGTTGACATACGCAGTAAAAAAAAATATTTTGCTTGTTTTTGTTTGGTGCATTCTGTTATGAGTTACAGGTTGTTAAAAATTGAAAGTGAACAAAGATAAAATTCAGTACATTTTACGGGTTTTCTTTGACAAAGGCCAAAAAGGCAACCCAAGCGGCTAAAATTGTGAATGGGGTTTATGGTTCCGATACTGTAACAGCCAATTATATGCAATTTTGATTTCGTAGATTCCGTTCAGGAATTTTTTGATGTTAAAGATGCACCACGCGTAAGTAGGCCGGTCGTCGAAAAGGTCGATAAAATCGGAGAAATGGTCAAAGTTGACCGGCATGTTAGCATCGAAACATCGCCCAGGAGCTAAAAATCGACCATAAAATTGTTTTAAACCGTTTACACAAATCTGGATTCAAAAAGAAGCTCGATTTTTGGGTGCCACACAAATTAACAGAAAAAAAACAGTAAGGAACGTAGTAAGGTAGGACGGGCCGACTATATGATACCCTTCAACACTTTGGGTGTATTCAACAGATGAATCCTAACAGACGTCGTTTTTGGATCCATAAACATGTCATTCTGCAACCTATACTAAATTTTTCATTTGGTCAGATATAGAGTTGCTTCTTACAATGGGACAAAATTATGTAATCAATTTAAAGCCAATATCAATCCGGGTGTCCGATTGGATAAACATGAGTATTTTGGTGCACCATTTACTAAAAATCGCACGAAAATATATAAAAGATATATCGAAATCTAAACCGATTTCATCAAAACTTGTTATAGGCTAAGTTATACTAATTTCAGTATATTTTGTGCATATCGGCCACATTTTGAGTTCATGGTGCATCATGTACTTAAAACCGGAAGAAAATATATATAGGAGCACTATCCATATCTGAACCGACATCAAAACTTTCCACACGCTAGATTATATTAACTTCAGTACGTTGTGCAAAATTTTGTGTCAATCGGCCTAACTTTGGGTCTTTGGTAAACTATTTACTCAAAATCGGACGAAACTATATATGGAAACCAGGGACGTACGCAGGATTTAATTTCGCTACTTTTTTACTCGACGTGGGGTAGAAAACCTTCTTTCAGCTGATGCTGTGGTTAGCGGTATTGCTATTAAAATTTGTAACAATATATTTATATTTGGAAATAGATTTTCGTCACATACTACAAGTGGATTAGATGCGATTACGTCGGGGATCTTTCGCTTTCCACATTCAGATATTTTTCATAAAATTGTATGATTTCTTTAAAATCTTAACATTAAAATTTTTTAATTCTCGATAATGTTTTAATTATTTGGTCTGTTCCCGTACTGCAAGAATCTACTCGATTTGACTATTTTTTCGATATCATAAAGGAAAAAATGTGTTTCGCAGTAAAAAATAGTAGATTCTTGCAGTACGGGAACAGACCACTTATTTCATTTTCCAGAACTCTGCTTGTTATATTTACAATTAGTTCGTTCAAACATGGTACAAATAATGTGATTATATAAAATATTCGGAGTTCGAACACATTAAATTTGACCTGAAACTTCTACTTCTTATATATAAATCCAAATTAAATCTTACCATTTTCCCTGTTTTTTTTCCAACGATTCCACTATCTCTTCTATATTTGTACGCAATCATGCTGCTCAATCTATCGTGTTTCACAATATGAATGTAATCATTTGATAGATTTATTTGCTTCACGATATATCCTACCTAAAGTAGCAGACCTTTTTGGATTTTCTAAAGAATGAGCAAACTTCCAAAATTGCAAAAAACATACTTCAGATGCATTTAAACTTAATTTTAAAATGTGAAATGAATAATGAATGTATATCGCAGAAATTAATTTTGATTTTATAATGGTCTGCACTCCATTATATCTTTTGCTAAATCAAAAATGTTGCATCCAAACCAAAACTTATTACTTTGTTTACTCGGACGGTCAAAAATTATTTTGCTGTTAACCATCCTAATTCCACGTAGCAAAGGAAACATTTTTTCGACCTTTTTAGATACTTTGTCAAACATTTTATGCATATTTAAATTCATTCGCTTAAACCGAAAAGAATACAGAATTTTTCACTTTTTCGACAATAGTATTCTGGATGTATTCTCCAATTAGTTTTATTAACTCATTCCATATCCTGGGACTCAGGTATGTTGCATTTTTGGGTGTACTCTCCAAAAATTTTCTAAATTATATCTAACGATGGTATTTAGTACGCTTTACTTCCCTTCAATGCGATGTCTTTCCATTCACCCATGGTATAATAATAGTAGGTAACAGCAAGTGTTGTTGTACAAAAAACGATACAACAACCACATGGAAATTTGTTGTTGTAAGTTCTACTAGTGTCAACTCATTTGACAAAAAAATGTAAAGAAACAAAAAAAATATCATCAAATTATTTTTATTTTGAAAATGAAATATTTTCGAATCCTCAAAATAAAAATTGAAAAACATGAATGAAAATCGATCAAATTTATATTTCTATCGCTTCCACATCTTTCCTATAATTGAGCCATTGCCATATATATGTGTAACACATATGAAAATGCTGGGAATAGCGAGTTGTTCCTTGAAGAAAGATTTGCTTCCTCAAACTTTCCCAGCAGGCAGATTGAGTAAATTGAATACGGGAGCACATTATTAAAGAACAATTACAAATTGTATGCGTTGCCAATTTTCCTGTTGGGTGATTTTTAAAAACATAATTTGTCAAATTCATATTGACACTAGTATTACGTTGGAATCAAATCAGCTGGGATTTGCTGTTACCTTTTATAATTGTACCATGCCCATAGACTAATGAAGATATAGACGACGAAATACTCAAAAAATGCGCGGTCAAGTGACTCAAAACAAAAAACTCAAAAAATTTTAAAGACGTTTTTTGGGGAAAATGGACTATTTTACTTTAATGTTTTTATATGAGGATATAGTTTTTGCTTAAAACTAACTATATTTAGTGGCATTCCAAATCAAAAGGTTCAAACATTTAAATAAATCACGATTTAAAATTGAGTAGCGCATTCAGCAGACTCAATTCAGAGAGGACTGGTGAGAGCATTTCGTCGTCTATACATTCATTAGTCTATGCCATGCCATTCACCCAATAAAATTGTCTCAATGGCATCTTTAACTTTAGGTCTTTTAATATATCTGAAGCTTGTGTGTCCGTAACATTTTCTATACGTTTTGAAACATCTTTCATTCTCGATATAAATTCCTGAGTCCTCATCGTCGCATCTCTGTGGTATTCCTTTTTTTCGTTGGTCTGTGGGTACGACAGAGGGAATTTTGGGACTTGGTGGTTGTCCTTTCCGCAGCCTCCTTTGTTTGAAAATAAGATGCCTACTTTACAAAAAGCACCTATTGCTAAGTCCGAATATGCGATACAAGAAACCGGTTGTGCCAAATTTCGTGCAAATCGACTTTGGTACACCATTTACATTAAATCGGACGAAAATATATATGGGAGCTATATCTAAATCTGAACC